GCCACTGGTGCTAGGCTAGCCAGAGGCTACTGTTGTCCCATGGTCTGCCATTGTCCAGAACACAAAGCTGCTGTGTTGCACCTCTGGACATACTGGTTTGTGAATGCTACCCATCCCAGCTGTGATCACATGGGAAACTTTACCTTATGGTGCATTAATTCCATGCATCCAATGAAAAAGGGTTAATGGAAACCTAAAAAAATCCTCCTTCCACAAAAAAAGAAGTAGAGAAGCTGAGTTTAATCCCAGTTATAAGCAGATTTGGTTTTCAAAGAAAAGGGATGAGAAATCCCTGAATGTTGTGTCCATGCTGAAGAAGCTGACCCAGGAAGAAGATGCTCAGATATAGATTTACTGACAGTTTAATTGATTTTGGAGACACTGGAGTGATCAAGATACTCCTTTTAAACCATTTGCAAATAGCAAAAGAAGAGACCAACAATTCTTCCCTTTCCGCTGGAAGTTACAGCTTGGCAGCATACTTAGTTACTCCCTCCACAATTTAACACAACTGCTTACACAAAAAATAAGCTTAGAAAAGTAACATCAGCTCTTAGAAGCTGAAAATGAAAGCTGTTACCATGGGACCAGCCAGCTCTCTTTGCACCACCAGCACATTCTCTGCAGATCACTGGGATCAATGGAACACTCCTCCACTCCCCGAGCGGATGAATGTTCAAGTCGTTCCAGAGCAAATACGGAAGTATGAGGATTTAATATTTGGTTTCCACAAATTCTCAGCCATGAAACTGGCTTCCTCTGACATTTATGCTAGGCAAAATTCAATAACTCATATGCTCACAGACAGCAAGGACAGAAGGGGCACAGATACAACCAAAGCAAATTCATTTTTAGAAGATGAATTAATATTCACAGAAAGTTTTTAAATTATTTGCCCAGCTCTAAAAATCAATGAATGGTATATTCTAGTAACCTCGAGATCTATTATTCTGATAATGTCATATTTTAATTAGAAGCCAATTATTTTAATGGCTTGATTTAGACAGACCCTAATAAAAAGGGAAAAGCTTCCCATCCAACTGTAAGGAGTAAGTGCCCAATCCTGTAATGAAGAATTTGGACATGGATCCCGGCATTTTCTTGGAGCCATGTTCAAGCTACTTAGTGTCTATGGAATACAAATATCTGCCTATGTGGTTCTTTATACAGAAGAGTGGCCTAAGGTAAAAACTGAATGACTTGGTGTAAAAATTGTAACACACAATACTGGTACAGAGGTTTTGCAATACTGACCAGTTTAGCTTCCTGTCTTTTGCAGTGTCACAACCCAAAGGTGTGATTTTTGTTTTGTGTGTGCTTTGGCACCACTGAATTATTTTCCTGCCAATTTGTAGCTTTCTTTGCAGTGTGCATTTCTTCTTTGCAGCTAAGAAATGCACTTTGCAAAGAGTTCCCGGCATTTGTATTATAATTCGAGCCCCATTATTGGCTTGCGTGAAATTATTCACACGTGGCAGCTAGCGATTGGCTTGCTAGCCGTATAAAAGGCTTGAATGGTTTCCGCCCAAGTTGGAGGACTCCACGAACACCAGGAGGAGGAGACTTCACGCTGTGTGAAGATCTCTAAGCGCTGCGGAGCCTATCGGACCCAGTGCATTTCAAGCAGGCAACAGGGGTCTGATCAGCCTCTAGCCTCTCCCCATCGCCGTTCGCAATCCTCGACGTATCCCTCTCCCTGCACGCAAAAGGATCCACGGAGCCTCGACAACTCCGTGGGAGTGATCCGAGTACAGTCTGAGTCCTCAAACTGGGGATTTAAGTGGAGCTGTGCCTGGGAAACTGTCCAGCCTGCACCGCGACCATCTTTGGTGTAAGTAAACAATCTTGAATCAACCATTAAGCGTCTGTGCCTAATTCTAGCGTGTCGCCTGTTTTCTCCGACCCAGCGTGCCCGGGCTGCTGGCCACAGCCCGCGTGGCGCGAAAAAGGGCCCGGATCGCTCCCGGCCCGCACATGCAGTAGTTGATATTATATGCTCCAGACAGGATACATAAAGATGATCTAACCCAGTAAACTTCAGTACTGCCACTGCTGCTATCAGAAAACATGATTATTAGCTGTGTGCCTAAACCCAAAAAAGGGAGAGAAAGCTAGGTGAAGAATAATGGAAAAAATCATAGGAAGTAATCACTTCAGTCAAATTATATTTGGTTTTAATGTCTAGAAAATTTAGACATGGATTCATAACACATACTAATGTCAATCATAGGTCTGTTGCATTACTCAAAAACGATTCATTTTCTTTTTTTCAAACTGAATAGCAGTGGCCATTGAAATCAGAACGTTTGACAGACAAAGCCTATTGTTTTGGATGACCACTTCATTTAGAATAATTACTTACATGTATTTAAATTCTAAGTTTGTGTGTGTTTCTCGCCCTCTCACTTACATTGTAATAGTCTGTTCATAAGGCAGTATTTTGGAGTGGACTGAGAGTTTTTAACCTCATATTAATGTGATCTTAATATGGAGGTGATTAACTATTTGTTATATTACAACTTAGATAAATATCCACGTCGCTCTAGTAAGGCAGGATTTTTCATCCAATGGAGCATGGCCCACAGGCAAGTTGAGAGGGCTGTTATTGGTAACTCTCATAATTCGAGGGGAAAAAATAAAGCATTGAAATCCCACAGTCATTAAAGTGCTGCAAAAACGGTGAAAAAGAAACACCACAACCTCTTGCTGCTCTCTTTTTTTTTCTATCATGCAACCTGCAAGTTTTATCCAGCCTGCAAGTTTTTTCAGTCTTCTCCTTGTTCCCTATTTGTTCAGTGCTCATCTCCAGAAAAGGTGATAGAGTATTGCAAGAGGCTATGGAGCTGAATGTAGAGTGTCTTCACTTTCACTGATTTGTGGGGGGAAGGATAGAGGAAACCAACTTAAATATATTTCACATGATCTCCATCAGTGCTCCAGTAAAGCATTCCAGCACAGACTAGAGGTATAGCAGGTCTCCCCCATGATATATTATAGCTGATATGATCATATAATATCTGCAAGCAATTGGAAACATCTAAAGTAGCCTGTCAGAAAGAAATTATGAGTGATAGGGCGGCTACTGCCTTGGAAAGCCCTCCACCTTTGGTCCAAACCAGCCTAGATTTGGACTAGGGACAGAAGTTACATATAAACTAGGTTAAGTGATCAGAAACTGGTTTAAACCTGTAACAGAACATAAGTTCAGTGCACATAAACCAGTTTCAAAATGGCCAAAATGGGCTTAAAATAAACCTGGCTGAATGTAGTATCAGACTTGACTGATTGTGTTCCAACCAATTTATGGAACTTCTGTCCCAAAACCCTTCCTGTTTTAAGTAAATCAGAGTCCCCCAGCATCCCAGCATGCTCTGCAGCCCTGGGCTGGGCTGTGCTGTCTGCTCCAGAGAGCAGGTCTAGCCCTGGCCCTCTACTGTCTAGCTGGAGCAGGGGTGGGGCGTGGCCAGATGCTGGCCTGGCATAGCCCTCTAAATCGAAGAGCCCGGGTGGAGGTTTATTCTCCCTCCCTCCCCTCTTCCCCCAGGGGACTGGAGCCGGGCAGAGCAGCCCATCAGGGTAACTCCCACACTTGCTGCTATAGCGGCAGGGGCAAGGGCTTAGCCAGATGCCGGCCAGCATGGCCCTGCCATCTGCCTGCCTCACTTGCAGCTGAGGCTGTGGCTGGGGGCTGAGCCGGGCTGGCCTGCAGGCTCTGCTGAGTGTGATGTGGAGGGGCTGGCCCGGCCTGGCCTGGGCTGGGCCGTGGGGGCAGGGCCCTTCCCAGCCAGCTGCAGCTCGGACTGAGGCCACAGGAGCTGTGCACCCAGATTGCTCCCTGCTCCCAGGCCAGGCTAGGCTGTCATGGAGCCACAGCCAGCTGGGAAGGGCCCTGCCCCCATGGTTTGGGCTGGCCCCTCCACACCCAACCTCAGCAGCACCCACAGCTGGCCCTGCTCAGCCCCAGCCAAGGCTGGCAGACATCAGGGCTGGCCGGGTCTGGGGCACAGGCGCAGGGCCCTTCCCAGCCAGCTGCAGTTCCATGACAGCCCAGCCCAGCGTGCACGGGTAGCAGCTGGTCGGGCAGCGGCACAGATGCAATCCTGCTGTAGCTGTGGGCAGGCGCCTTGCAACTGGACTGGCCGTGCAGGATGCGTTAATTGTGCCCGTGGCTGCCTGGGCCTGTTTGGAGGCACTGTCAGGCCCAGGGCCCAGCAGGTGGCTGCCGCAGGGGCACGTGCGTCCACTGCCACCGCACCCCCTGGATGCTGCAGAGGAACAACATGTCCCCACTATTGCTGCTCAGTGCCAGCCAGGTGTCGGGGTCTGGCCACATTCCCTCCTCCCCCAAAAAGTCTTGCAAGGACTGCTTCTCCTCTCCCCCTCCAGCTGGGGTCCCTGCAGGCCAGGGTGGGGTTTAAACCCCTCCCCAAACATAGTTAGCCTGCCAGGGCCTGGTCACATCCCCCCTCAGCTCAGCTTCCCTTGGCCACTGCAGGAGGGAAAGAATGGTTTGCTCTACCACCCCTGGCTTGTGGCCTGAGCCACTGCAGGCATGTGCCTGCATTTTCAAAATCAAAAATGAATGCCTATTCACCTGCAAATTGGTTCAATCTACGCATATTAGACTAACCTGCAAAGATTGAATCAATTTAGGCTCAGGCTTTTTGAACTTTGAGCTCAGGCTTTTGAACTTAGCCTTGGGAAACTTCAGATTAACTGCAAGATCCTCCTGTTCTTTGTGAGGGAAGTTCTGTAGTAGATTGCAGTGTATGAAATCAGGGGTGGGAGGAGTTAAGTACTTCAGCTTTTGAAGACTGGTCCAATGTTTATGGGTCTTGTTAGAATTTTCACAGAAGACTAGAGCACAAGATAGACCTATATTATTGCAAATCTGCTTAAATGACTGTTGTGGTCCAATGCAGTACAATACTTTGCAGTGTACTGCAACTGTGTTGACAAAATGCAAAATTACAAACCATGTGAACATTGAAAAACATCACCTGATGTGCCTGTGTTGCTGCCTTTTTGCATCCTCCCCTAGTCTGTTTAATGATGGTGACCTGCTCCGAGAGGATGGGGTATAACTTCCAACAGTTTTTACAGTTCCATTAGGATTATTCTGCATCTGTTGAAGTAGATGTGGTGAAAGGCTGCGGTGTGAAGAAGCAGAAGATGAGGCTGACCAGTCAGGAATGTTGTTGATGTTCAGGTTGTTATCGCTGTTAGAGCGAAGCAAGACACGAGGTGCTGCCAACGTGCTCTGGGGCCTCCGTCTCCTGTTTGAATAGGTAGGAGCCTCTCTAAATGGCACTATATAAACAGAGAGGAAAAACAACTATGGTAATCATATTTGATTTTACCATTTATGCATATTTATCATTCCTTAAAAAGATTGAGCAACATATGGCACTTCTTCCTGACACTTAGAATATGATAGAGAGAGAGAAACATCTACCTCAACTGATTATTTAATCAAGCTAAATAACGGGATTACATTTAAAATGAAATTAAAGATGTAAATAACTTTCACATGTAACATACTTACTGGTTTTAATAAGCAGTTAAGCACCACAGTACTGGAAACATCAATGGTGTAAGTACAAAAGTACAACAAATGGTTTGAAGTATGGTCTAGTAATAACAAATATATAGATTTTTGCCAAGGTTGAATCTCATCACCATTTTCTTTCACTTAAGCATCCTCACACAAGTTAGCAAACTTAGCTGATCTCACATAAACTTACTCCTTGTACTTTCTTCTGGACTCCTTTTTCTATAAAGACCTATACTGAGAGTAAGCATTCTTAATTCACGCCTACGTTGGAAATCTTTAGTGTTAATGGCTACCTTATATTCACCTACCAGGTTAAAAATTGAGGGCATAGATTCTTCTCCTCTTAGAACTCTGTTACACTGATACAATCCCTAGGTGTTTGTCTGTCATTCTACTCTAGGCATTTCTACTGCACCTATTACTATTGCATGTAGAACAAAAAGTGCAGTGCCCTGGGGTAATATGCTCAATTCCACACCCACATGCATCCAGATCTGAACATAGAAATATACCATTTAACTAATTATGCAAAATAAAAAATAAATACAAAATTAGAGACCTAGACCCGAAAACACACTAGTCCAATATGGCACAATGCTACACTTCTAGCTCTGCTCCTATAAGTAAATGCTACATACCAAGAATCTCCATTTTCTGCAGTAGTGAGTCAATTTAAGTGCAATTTAAGGAAGTAGTTTCCAAAGAAAAGGTTTCTAATGCACATGAGATTTGATGTTACTTCTGATCTCATAAATTAATAAAAGGTCTAATTCCAAAAATGCTTATTCTAGTTCTTAATCATACAAATAATCCTATTAATTTCAATTAAACACTCATAGGAATTGCAGGACTGGATCCAAATGTAGAAGTCTACACGTGCAAATTAATTATGATATCATTAACAAAAGTCAGCCTGTTACTGTTAAGAAGAATTTGCTGAGCCAATTAGGTGCACTGCAACTTTCCAAAATTATATTTCAGTTAAAAGGAAAAAATTACAGAAAATTTTATATGTTTATAATACCAGTCACCTTGAAAAATGACAAAGTACTCAACACACTTATATAAAATAGAATAATAATACTCATACTATAAAATACAGATGACACTATAGTTATCAATAAACACCAGAATCACTTTATCCCTCTGGATTGCAGTCACTTTTGGGGTGAAACACAGAAAGTGTTTTAACATCACAATACCATTATACACACTTTCAAAACAGGAGATGAAGGTGTAGCTGCAGGCAAAAGAATGGAATTACTCATGTAATTTTCACTAGAATCAGTTCCTGATTAACTGTGATCCTAAAGAATCACATTTTAAAAGACAGTAAAATTTCCATTTAGTTGAACATCTTATTTAGGTTAAGTTTTTCCTTATAAATACTACCAAAAAAACCCGTACATATATGAAAATGTTTTTTATAACATTCAAGTTTACAATATTTTATTTTAAGCAAAATTAAGAGGAGTGGTCTTTACCTACAAGCCTGTTAAAAAGGATGAGATTTAAGAGTGCTAAACTGACAAACAAACGGCAGCAGTCTATAAAACCTCTGTGAGAATTTGATTTTTTAAGTATACAATATTGCCCATTTATAAAAAATGTTTCCTGTTAACACAGTTAGTAAGAATTGTGTTCCTAACTCACTAAAGGACTTCTGTAAGTACCCTGAAAAGCTCATGTTAAGGTGAAGGCTCACCTATACTTCTTACAAAAAATTCCCAACACATACTGCTAAAATTAACATATGGTCTTAATTTCTTGCATATTATTTATTGCTTCTGTGGAATACTCTTTCTGTAGTATAATCTTGACATAGCCAGTCTAGTATATGGTATGGCTGTACAGGTTGTATATTCCTTTACTTCTGCTATTTAGCACAGTGCTCTACTAATGATTAACTGAACACATGCAGATCTTATCCAGTAGCTAAGGGTAAAATATTGACCAAAAATGTTATTTATACAAAATACTGTGGGTACTAGAAATACAAGTTTGCTTATCAGAAGTATAACCTTTCTCCTACAAAAGGCATTGGGAGGTTTGCTCTTGACTTCAGTAGAAACTGGATCTGACCCTTAGAATCTAATTGTTCATGAGTTTAACTGTGAATATTCTAATGTAGAGTCTTCAGGTCCATTCATTTTGAGAGCTAACAAATAATTATATTTATTTAATTTTTTTTATAATTATTGGAAGATTTTTTAAAATCAATCTGCATATGGCTCAAATATCAGAGGAGCAATTGACAGAATAAGCTGAGAATTTCTGAGCACATTTACACTGACAAGTTTCAGGAGAACCAAAAATATGCATCCCCTTCCAAATGAAAAATTATTAACACACTCTCCGAGTCTCACATTAAATTCTTTGCCCACCGCAATCTTCATGTGAATAGGTTTTTAAATCTTCATTTTGAAATTAACTTTTGGCTACCAATTTTGGATACCAATGTTATAATCCTAAAAAGAGATAGCTGCAAGCAAAATTAGGCTCTACATTTTTAAATAAAGGCATGGATCTGTTCTCTGTTAAAGCAATACAGAAGAAAGAATTAATTATACAAATAGACATGTGCCCAAAAAAATCATTTGCAGAAAGAGTTAAAAATAACCACTTCTATGCCTAAAGTGATTAATATTCCACCCAACTGTTTCTTTTACCCGGCAATCTGCAAACAGTAAGTGGGTGGATATTTTTTTAGCTACTTCTTGCATTGCATTATTATTTTCACAATAAAAAATAACTACAAACGCAAAAGATGAAACAAAAATATGCATGCTTTAAACTCTGTGGGACTTAGTATTCTTCTAACATTCCATGATTTCCAAGACCTTATGAATTACTATTGTAAGCTTGTTTGGAGAAACAAATATAAAATGACATGAAAACATCTGAACTAATTTCATGCTTCTAAGTTTCAAATGATCATTCCTTTCTGTCAAACCTAAGAATGAAACAGTACTTTCCTACAGCTCTTGAAATGTTATTCCTAACAATCTATATATTTGAAGTGGCAATTAAGGAGCATTTAGTGATAAATATTCCTTATGTGTCTTCCCATGAATTGCTTAGGAAGCAAAACCTTTTCTATAAACTACCTGAGTTTTTTGATACAAGCTAAAACAAATAAGTCACATCTTAGATCTACTAATCAGTTACCTAAATGAATGCTTTCACATAAAAGAATTTTGAAAAAAGAAATTGCATCAATTGGTTAATTATAGAGTAATGAAGCAGATCATATTAACTGTACACAAGAAAATATCAGTTCTCAAACATCAAGTGTTCTTCTTTCATTGCTTACCTTCTTTCTTTGTTAAGGCATTTAACAAAGACTTCATTTTCCCTTTTACTTCAGCAGCAATCCCCTCATTATATAACCTTTGCTGGGAAGAAAGAGGAAAAAAAAGCTACCCAGTTTCTATGTGTTTTAACTGCCTGCACCCTAACATAAGCAGCAGGTTTCTGGGCACTGTGTAATTGCAAGCATAGCTGGGCATGCAGTACCCAGCGTTCTGGTGACAAAGCCCACCCCACATTCTGTCTGTCAGCTGGGAACCAACTGTGCGTAGACTGGAGCTGCTCAAAAAATCTTGCTATCTTTCACAGTATTAGTCATGTGAACACCACCACCAGTCTTTCAGACGTTACTCTGCTTTTGTAATCATTGCATTTGTGAACAAGCAAACACAGGACAGAAGGAAGGAAAAGCAGCACAGGCTAAGAAGGGTAAAAAAAAATTAATAATTTGTAAGGGAAGAAGAATCATTCATGGAAAGATACCTCATAGCAGTACTTTGGAAGCTACAATAAGTGAACAGATAATCTTGAAAGAGCTGGGAGCTACTGAATAAGTGCATTTAGTTTCTTAAACTTGTATAGCCAACCCCGAGTTAAGATGCAGTCTGTGCTTTTTCACATTATTTTGCTTGTCATTTGTAGTGCTGACAAAAGTCAATTCGAGAGAAGGTGTGCAGAAAATTAACAATAAACAAGCCTCACACCAGGCTTACATTAAAAATTTAGATAAAACTGCCACTAAACAGAATAATTGAACCTGGCCTATATTCCAGTTTGAAAAGGATCAGACACAAGCACCAATTATTTTCCACTCCTCCTCCATTATGGTAATTACAGTGAAATAAAACAGAATTTCTTTCTGTACAAGGAAAAAATGATTATAATGCAACCAAACTACTCTATTTTATGCATATGACAGTAAATAAATACATTATTTAACCAGTGCAGGTTTTAAAGTCTCGTTTCTGGGAAATGTCTTTGGATACCTGTGAAAGTAAGTGCAAATAGTAAACATTGCAAATAGGAAATGGGGGTTTTGCATTCACAATGAAATTGATGTTCAGCTGCTGCATTATTCCATGCTAGAGATAAGTATAAATATTGCAACAGTGCAATATAAGAATTCTGATGAATAAGATTAAAAACATTCAAAAGGCTAATCAAAACTTTAGTAGTATACGTCATAAATATATACTAATAAATAGTAACTCCATTTTAGGAATCTGTGCTGATCGTTAAAACGGTATCTTCTGTTAAACAGTGGAAATTATAGTTACTAAGAATACTGTTTCTAAAATTAAAAAAGTGGTAAAATGTGCAACTGGTTTACATGGATGGATTTTACCTCCTTATACCAAATAATATCATAATCTATGCAATAACATTAGCAACCGCTAATTAAAAAGCATTACAAAATTAGCAAGCATAAATAAGTAATTTGAACAGT